AAGGCTCCGGGCTCGCCTCGTTTGCGGCCCCTGACGTTACCTACCAGGGCCCGGTGTGGGCGAGCTTGCGTGACCCGCGTCTGTACGCTGCTGGGGTTGTGCTGTTGCTTGAGCCTTTTCCCCGGGTGTTGTTACAAACGCGTCCGCTGCGGGGCTGTTTGTGCCGAGTCCCTCGGCGGGGCTTGGCCCTGAGCGCAGGTACATCGCGCACTGAAGCCACGCGCTGACCCGAGTGCTGACCTAGCGCCGCCCCCCAGGCAGGCTGTGCCGCCAGCCGGGGCAGCGGGACCCTTTGCCGCAGGTGGTGTTACTTGTCCCGGGGAGGGGTGTGGTTAAGCGCAAGGGTTAGGGAGTGCGGAGAGTAAAGCTGTTAGGCTCGTACCGAAAAAGGCGTCCTCGCGTGGTCAGCATGGGACGCTGGAAACAGCTGCTGTGAGTTTAGTCCTGGTGGAACACAGGTGTTTTCTAGATCTTAAAATTGTTTACTGTGACCCTCAGTTCTTGTGTGTACAAATATACATGTATACTTAAAAATAGATACTAAATACAGAATTATATTGCAGAGTTTGTGCACAGTTGAGCTCAGCAGTGCAAGAAGATGTTGTACTTGCCTCGTTACATGAGATTAAATACTGTAATAACCTGTCTAATGAAAACAAAACAGACTTCCTTTTTTCCCCTTTCTATTAGGTGCAGACATTGCTTCAGCAAATGCAAGACAAATTTCAAACCATGTCTGACCAAATAATTGGAAGAAATATCCTTTGTTTAAAGTTAATAGGTGCTATACACCAGAGACTTACAAGTATTTTAAGTATATTTACCAGTGGGATTTGTAAGATGAAGTTACTATAAGAGTTTGAGCAAAGCTCTAATGAAAAACAAACAGAACGACCAGATTGCAAGCATGTTCCTTAACTGCAGTGAACTTGACGACATGAGCTGTCGCATAGATGACCTGGAGAAGAACATAGCGGACCTCATGACGCAGGCGGGCGTGGAAGAATTGGAAGGCGAGAACAAGACCCCTGCTACTAACAAGAGTTAAAGTGAGCCCATTGCTTGCTAGCCTTGAAACAAATCCTCGGGTCACTTGAAAGTGCTGACTTTAATGTAGATGGGATTTTTCCTTTGATCTGTGAGGTAGTCTGAAATTCATGCAGAGCAGAATTGTGTATATACAATGGGGAAAATAGCAGCAACAAACCAAGCTGTTTTTTTTTTTTTCCCCTCCCTCTCTCATTATATCTAAGGACCGGAATCTCAGTACTTTTCCAACATCAGCTCCAGTTGCCATAGCTGGGAATCTAGCGTGAGCGTGGTGTTACCCTTCCATCTTCCACTGCACCCTGCAGACTTCAGCTCCCACTAGCTGCTAAGGACAGTAGACCTGTTGCTGTGCTTCGGGGCTAATGAGTAGTCCATGGGCTGTGAGTTACGAGCTTGCTGGGAGAACGTGACTCACACCACTGCAGAGCAGCAGGTGTTGGCTTGGGCAGTGTAAGACAACACATGGATACGAGGCAAGGCGTAGCTCAAGGCAATGCTCCCTGGAAAAGAAATTTCTTGCTGAAAGATAAATGTGATGATATTCTATATTCTTCTTTTGTAATTACTTAATTGATAACCTGCCCCTGTGTTACACAAAAACATTGGAGAAGCAGATGTTTCATGGAGTAGGCAAGCAGCAGTTCAAAACCTAGTACAGTACATGTAAATCAGGTGATCAGTAGCACCCCACGCAGCATTTACTATCGCCAGAGGCGTTTCAGAAGATGGGGGCAATGTGAGAGTGCCACAGCTGTTAGAGCATCAACACGGGGCTTGTGTGTGGTGCTTAATTATAATATGTGAGCAGCAGGATTTCACTGCAGTTTTTAGAGAGCTTGGTTTTTGTAAACCATGGGAGGCAGCTGGTTAATGAAGTACTAGATGTATCATGTTAGATTAACTTAAGGTGGCTCAGACATGTCTCAGCCTCTCTTAGGCTGGAAGAATGCTGTGCAGCCCGCTGAACAGGCACGTGTCTTTGATACAGGGATACCTTGTCTTTGTTAAGGTACCTATTTTTTGTGATACTTTGACAGAAATACAAATTATTATGGTCTTCACTGCCCCCAGTGCCACAGATGAAAATCTCTGATGCGCATGATTCTCTCAATTTTTCTCAGTAACACTTTTAAAATTATTTTTCCCCAGCAGGTTGCCAGTAACTTCAGGTGAATCCTAGAAGATGACTTTTTTTTTTTTCTACAAATCCTTGGAATTACAGAACAGCTTTTTGCAACTACGGTGTGTAAAAGCATTTTTATATTGTTACAGAGCTTGCATTCCTAATGTATATTGTATAGTTAGGGATAGGTTGTTTATGTTCTGATTTGTGTACTGTAATATCACTTTCTGAATTCTTGTTACGAGGATCAATTAGTTGTGTTATTAAAACACAGATCTTATGGATCTCAACTACCGTGTGTATTTCTGTGAAGTCGGTTTTTTCCTCTTTCTTACACTTTTTCTAGGATTTCATTTTTGATATCTAAGCATCTAGTGACTCCCATCAAATGGAAATCGTAACTTGTCCTGCGTAACTGTGGAGTGAAGCACAAGATTGGTACTTTGCATTAATCTTAGCTCTAAGCATCAGTCATTCAGCTACCCGAGGACTACGTGTTATTTCTCATAAATGTAATTAGCTGATTTTGGAAATGAGATGTGGAACATCGAGACCATATCTGCTACTCCTGGCATTACCTTATCCGTGTGTTCCTAGAATATAAAGCAGAAATACAGGTTTAACATCAGGAACATCTGTACAGTTGAGCAGCCACTGCCATTCAGATCTGGTCTGTTCAGACAGACGAGGAACTACCAACTATGAAGAATCTCACTGTGGGATTTACATTTTTTAACACTGTAAAACTCTGCTTTGAAACTGGCAAAGTGTCATTTAGCATCTCCTGAACAATAGTTACGATTAAAGTAGCGATACTGGACAGAATGGGATGGGGCTGGGGGAGTGTCTGTCCGCGTGTGGTCTTTCAGCGTAAGTCACCACCTCGGAGTACAAAGTGGTTTGTGAACAAGGCAGTGTCTTGCTGAGTAGCAGCAAGAGAATGCAGTTAGAATCGTAAAGCCTTGCTTCTCTTCGTGTAACAGCTAGCTGGAACTGGACAAAATGTTTGGTTTAGGAAGGTGTTTTTTATCAGGATACCCACGTTTACGGGTCTGGTGTTTAATGGATCACACTAGAGTATTTTGGCAATGAAGAGTGTATTCCGTCACTTGTGAAGAAAAATGACCAACGTCGGGTATTGCTGATGATCACCGCAGTGCTTCTCCTGCTTGATGTGCAATGGAAGGAAGCACTGGTGGCAGTCAGCAGGTACGGGTGTCCCGCGTTTGCCACTGCTCTTTCAATGCTGCCAAGTTAGCGCCTGTGTATTGTGAGGGCAATACGCTGGGTCATTTTTCAAAACGGAGGGGGAACTGTAATACAAGTTCATAACGGAGGGATTTTGTGAAGGTAGGAAATGTATGGCTATGCCTTGTAATACCGGCCTTAGGCCCTTTGTAATGTCATTTGAAAAATCTAATAAACTATGATGTGGTAACGAATAGTCAGGTCATATATATTAAATCTATGTATTTCCTGTGCGATCTACTCTAGGGGATCCTGCCCTGGTCGGGGGTTGGACTAGATGATCTCCAGAGGTCCCTTCCAACCCCTTCCACTCTCTGTAGAGCACAGTCCAGGATATCATTATATGGGAGACTGCAGTTACAGAAAGAGCTGCTGCTTGTGGGTTTAGTCCAGAATGTAGCTGTGTTCTGTGCAACAGGTGAGCGCGATTCTGCCCTGTCAAACAGGTAATTACAGTATGGACCAAATCCACCAGGAAGCGTATTGAAGTGGAGGGTCATTTTGTATGATGTTTGTACAACGATAAATTCTCATCTGACCATCCTCCTCCTGTGAGAGAAAGGGTCCTTCTAGGGTTTGCCTGCACCACCCTGCAGGCAGCAGTATGAGGCCTGCTTGCCTGAAGGTTATTCTGTCAGCATAACTTACTGGGGAATTATTTCAGCATTAGGATTCTGAACATTCTCAGTAGGGGTGGTTTTCCCTCACAAACATGATGCTTTGCTGATTTCGAGAAGCAGCAATTGAATCCCAAACCAGCCTTCCGGACAGGAAGGGATTACCTGTAGCTCTTTAAATCCTGCGTATTTTTGACAAATGTTTTTTATTCTGTCCCTGCTCTGGGACAGAGCTCACGAGCAATCACTTGGGCTTCATCCTGCAGTTCTCACAATCCATGGCTGGCACTGGAGACAGGGAACATCTGTGCAAATCCCTGTTACCTGGCCTCCTCTACACTTAGTATCTCAACACTTCCAATGAAGTGCCCTTAGTTCCTTTCCTTAGATGGAACGTTGTACAGGGAATTGGTTTGCCTGAGATTAGTGCGGAACTCGGTAAGAGACCTAACCCTCCTGTCTTCCAAACTCTGGGGCAGTGCTGACATCGCTCGCTGCTGCTTCCTCCAAACCTGGAAGCTCACAAAATACATTCCTTCACGTTGTAAACACATTTCACATTGTGCCTTCAAAAAGAAAACAGCCCTGGTTCTGCGCAGTTCCGCGTGAAACACCCGTAGCTAAAGCCAGGCACTGTCCTTCCTCTGTGGAATTACCGCCGAGTCCGCAGCTTTCCTGCAGGTACCCACACGGAAGGAGTTAACGACGCCTTTACACCCCCTCAAGACTGTAACGCTAGCAGATAGTGCTCTCTAGCGGGCACTCTCACTAACAGAAGGAACACTGCTCATTCCGTTACCTGCAACGTCCAAGTGCAGATGTCAGGACTTTTAATGAGCCACGTGCTGATTTGAAATGTGGTTATTACACAAGACACTGAGGATTTGTTTACAGTTAAGAAAATTAATAGGATACACAAATTCCTTCCAGAGCTTTAAGCCTTACTGTGTTTTTAAAAAACCTGATGCTTGCTGAGATTTTTTTTTCCTGACTCCGATGTGGAGTTAATGAAATTATGTCATTAGGAAAGCAAAGCATGGGAATAGAAACTTTACACCTTACAAGCACTCCGAGAAAAGAAAGGTTACCAGGAACTGTCTCTCTGACAAACGCACACATACTGATGGAAAGTGTTCTTCTACATAATTTTGCTACAGACCTGACATTTTTATTTATGAAGCTCTTGTGGTCAGATACATATGTAAAGATTTTTTCATGTTACAAAGCTGTAGAATATACAACCCTTGCTCCAGAGATTAAACCCTGCTCGAAACAGCACCTGGAGGGGCGATGGAGTTCAGTATTTCTCAAGCCTTGGGTTCAAAGGTGTTCGTATGACAAGTCTGGGTGGAATATCTGTGACCCTTCAGTGCAAGCTCCTGTACAGATATGGAAACACAGCAAAATAATCCATCAGTTTATGGACAAAATGGAGAAAACAGGCACAGGGCTACCTGAAAAGGGGAGGCAAAGAACAGAGAAAAATTCCTTAAGGCTTCACAGCAGATCAGAGGCTGAGCCAGGCCTTAGATTGAAATCTTTAAGTGACCTGCAAAGAGCACCCGAGACAGACAAGGTAGCACTCACCTGTCTCCCAAATCAAGGAGGCAGGCAGGTGTACTTGCAAAATAAGGATCTGTTCCTTCACATCTGAATTCCCCCAAGAGTTTAGATCAGAAAAAACCCCACATGCTGCACAGTCTGCTTGTCTTCAGCAAAAGGTATCCCAAATTGTGATGCAGCATAGCAAACTGCTAGATGTAGGTATCAAGTGGAGAAATGTTTGTCCAAATGCCATCTCGTGGGCACACAGGAATGTCATCGGCTTGGGCGAGGTGGATTACTGACAAAGACCTGTCTGGTATTCTGCCAGCTGATAGCTGTAGTCACTCTGGCTCAAAGCAATTCACAGACAGGACACCTCAGTTCTTACTTGTAATGTTCCACTTCACTCCAATTCCTCCTTCTCTGTGAATATGAATTTCCCAAAGGGTAACAGTTCCTGATGCACGGACAGCTCTAATAAATATTTCACTTATTTCCGTTGCAGACCTGCTTGGTTTTGAAGACCAGATCCCTGACTCCTTAAAGCATATTAGGGAAGCTTTTTGCATTTTAACTTGTGCTGTCACACTGGAGGAAATCATGGAGTTCAGCTGTTCTCGATCCACTGGCATAGAAATATCAGTTCCTTAGGAGTAACACAGGAAGGTTTCCAGAAAGTCACTGTTGGTTCATTTATTTTCCCATGCACTGTGAGAAGTCAGGAGGCGAAGGATATCCAGGGCTGACATAGTGTAGTTTGGGAAAAATAAAGCAACTGATAACACAGGAAAAAGAGCCCAACTTTAAGACATGCAGCTGGCTTATTGCTGCCGGGCATTTCGGACCCCACGGGTGTGATGAGGAGTCCACCATGGTCTGAGCTGTGACATATGACACATCCCACTGGCAATAACGAAGGAGCGTCCGTTAGCTTCCCAAAAGGCTGCTCTACAGCAGAACGATTCATTTGTTTGCCAGGTGCTATAAACCAGGAGTTTTTGTATCATACAACAGGTGCCCAATTCAGTTAGACTGTAAGGGGCTGAACCTCTGCCAAATCCTCTCTTCCAAACATGTTCACTCTAAAAAGTGTTCTTTAGAGCTAGAAGGCAATAAAAAACCAAACACAGCACTGCCATAGTTCAATATCTAACATCCAGAAGTGCAAGTGCCCTTGATCTTTGCAAACAGACTGATTCTGCAAGGATTTTGTTCCCTTGTGAAGTACCAGAAAGACCCTTCAAGGCACCAGATCTTGTAGGAAACAGCGCATGAACTTCCCCCTGGCTCTGCAGAGCACTACATTCCTAATGGAAATGACTGGCCACCAAAGATAAAACAACCCGTGCGCTTCCTTGCCTAAAATCATGCTGAGAAACACAAGTACAGGACCTCTACCATGTTAGCAGCTTTTAAAAACAGTCCCTAGTTCCAACAGCTGAAAGTGTGATTGTTAATGAAGGTTAATGTGATATAAGGGGGCAAACCCAACCCAAAACCTTCCAATTTTGCAGTGAAGCCAGCCCTCCTGCTGTTGACACACAGAACATATCATAAATCAGACCAAACCTTCTTAAAAATTAATGGGACAGCAAATGTTAAAATTAATGACAGATGCAATCAACGTTTATTAGAAGGTACATCACTGGGATCTCCAGCAAGTCAGGCAAAAAATTTAATCAGGTTCGTATCAGAGGGCTACAACTAGATGTGTCATTTTAATAGACTCCACAAGCGTGCCCTGCAACGGAGAACTGGGGTCGTCTTAAAAGAAAATTGACTGTAGATCCTTGAACAGGATTCACTGCTCTGGAAATTCTTTGCAGGTCCTTTCTCCAAATTACTAGCGTTACCCTATCGTACGAGAAGGTACAGACTGT